GAAATACGTTTATGGTAAAATTTTGGAAAATGGGCGTGGCACCGCCCACTTATGATCACATATATGTATATCGGTAACCATTCTACAATTTGTACAAACTCTGGTGTGGTTATTGTGCTTGCCACATATAAGCAAAACGTTGAAAATTATTGAATTCGGACTAAAATAACGGCCGCTTTTCATGTAACGGTAAATTTCGGGAATGCTTGAAACTTCAATATTTCGAAATTGAAGGACGCTAATTTACTCAAAATTGATACACCCCGGCTTACCATCTAGCGGAAGGTTTCGGAAAGGTGAAAAAACATATATTTAATACTTGCGCCGGGTATTTAATGTTCGGCTCTGCCCGAACTTAGACTTTCTTACTTGTTTTTTAAATATTTTCTTCTGTTAAAGCTTAATTCTTTTTAATTTTTTCATTAAAAAATAAAAAAAGCTGGAATTATTAATTAATTTTTCAGAAACTGTGAGCCCTATCGGAAAGTGATGTATACACGGTTTATAGAGAATTTCATTTGCGTAATTTCAAATTAAGATTTTTAAGTTGGTTCGTAAGATATACGTGATTAAAAGGAACCAATTTCTGCTTTAAGCTGAATAACGGTAAATTGCAAATATCTCGAAAACGTATCCAGAGAAAAAAAATTAACTCGATGTTCGAGCAATTCTACACAGGAATTGGATAGTGGCATCCACAGAACATTTTTGGTGTAAACCAGTGTTATTTGCAAATCTAAGGCTGCTAAATAAAAATGTGTGATATATTAAAGTGTACTTAATCAAACGTTTTTTATTGTATATTCATGAATTCATTTTATTTTTTGATTCCCAAAGTAGTGGTTTTGGTCCATAATTGGACTAGTATTTTTCTGTCTATTTTGAACTAGTATGAGAATAGTATATTTCTGACGGAAATCTGACAATTGGCATCTCGTAGGACATCTTCATGTTAAAAATACCAGTTGATTGCATGGAAAAAAGATAGTTGGCTGCCTAGTTGGGTATGCGGTTCATACTAGTTGTGAGGTAGTTTACAATTAGTACATTTGACTACAGGGTACATACAATAATTAAAAATAATGTTTTACCAGAGGTCCAATTTCGAACTTCGAATGCCCATATCTCGATTTCGGAGGCTAACTTCGAAAAACGGAGAAATTACTTTTTTACTTATGATTCAATCTCTTAAAAAAATGGTTTGGTTCAATACCCAGAAAAAATTGGATTTTGCCGTATAGTGTTATTCCAGTCACGACTTAAAACAAGTGGAGGTGCTAGTTTCATGTGCTCCTTAAAAGAAAAATCGTGCACTAAGAAATAAAAGTTGAAGAAAGCTTTCTTACTGATCAGATAAAAATATATATTTAAATATCTCAGACCCCTCAACGCAAAATACTGTTTAAAACGAAGATAAAATAAAGATAAAAATTTGAATAACACAACTTTCTGTTAAAATAGTCGAAAAATTTAATTATTGATATAGACAAATAAGTAATTTCGTGAATTATTCAATCGGGCATATGATCTTTACTAGGTCACTTAAAAAGATCGCACTCATTCCCTGCAGTGAAAACCCAAACCAGTTAGAAAAAATACTAGTTCATAAACTAGTATGTGCATACCAGTTCGACATTTTCGAAGAACTTAAGCGTTCAGCGACATCTGCCTTTGAATTGCCAAAGCCTAAAATAAAACGCAATTAATTGCTTTTCTTACAAATGTCGGCTGTGGCGTCACGTGAAGACTACTGGTTCTGGTTCTGGGATCGCAGGTTCGAGGCCGCTTGGAGGTGGTTAA